GGCTCCCCAAACATTTTAGATATAACATGAGTAGTTTTCTTGGGGCTCCATGGTTTAAGCGATACCTCCAGGTTAACATGCAGTGTGTACACAGATGAATTTCTCTAAAGATAAGACAGTACAATTGTCGTATGGAAGTCAGTGATTTTCCATGCATTTATGATGTTGCAAGTATGAAATCAGTTCTTTTGTATTATTTCATGAATGAGAGAGAGAGGGGGCGAGAGACAGGTATTCTCAACAGGGTCTCACACCACAGTTGTCCCTCCAGACCCCCCTCCCGGGTCAGCCAAGGACACGTGCACGTATGTCTGCATTCCAGGTCCACCCAGGAGCCAAATTCCTCTTCTCTGTGGATCCAGCATCGCCGAGCTGCATGTCACCACACGCCACCTGGCTGGGCTGTATAACGCTGTTCTTTATCAGAATATTTATTATTCATCTACAGAACAGCAGAGTATTAAGAGGGGCTGGTGGGAAAAAAAGAGAATACGCAGAAGAGAGTATGTCAGTTCAACCACTGTCTGACTCCAGCTGGGCGTCCAGAAATTCCACTGGATTCCAGCACTAACACACTCCTAGAATTAGCATCAGACTCCGCAAGGTTAAGGGCTCCATCCCACAAGGCTGACCTCACTTCAAACACTAGCCACAAGCTCCAGGTATCCCTAAGCACTTCTGTCCAACAGGCTGCAAATTTGGGGTTCCCAGTGACCCACCTTCAGGAATTGATAATTCATTGGAATGACTCACTGAACTCAAGAAAGCATTATTAATTATGATTACAGTTTTGTAAGGATAAAGATCAACTCACGAACAGCCAGAAGGGAGAAGTCTCCAGGGCATGATAAGGGATTAGTAGGGTGGCACAGAGCGTCCATACCCTCCCCAGGCAGGCGGCACTCCCGGCACATCCATGTATTCACCAGCCCAGAAGCTCCCTAAATGCCCTTGTTCAAGGGTTTGTATCGAGGCCTTGTTACATAGGCATGATTGATCAAATCATGGACCACTTGATTGAATTCACTCTCCAGCCTTCCTCTCATCCCTGGAGAGTGGGAAGTAGGATCGAAAGTTCTCATTCTTGTTTTTTTTTCCAAGAGGTTTTTGCTATAGGGCGCATGTGCTTGCCAAAAAGACAGAGAGAGACAGAAAGTGAGAAATCACCCCTCAGGGGGGATGGTCACACTGCAATCCCTTCTCCTCCATTCTCCTCTCGAGATCTTGAGCACGCACATACACGCACACGGCGTGAGCTTAAGCCACTGGGTCAAGGACTCAAACTACAGTCGACTATATGGGAGTCCAGCAACATAGCCATTATGTCAACTGCTGGTTCCAAAAGTTCTAATTCTTTAATCATTTTCATGGCCAAGCCCCTTTCTTGAAATTATTTAAGAGCCCACGATAAATCCAAAGATATTCCTTATTGTTATGGTTTGGATAATGGTCTGTCCCCCAGAGGCTCATGTCTTTGTTTGGTCCCCAGAGTGATGGACTTTGAGAGGTGAGGCCCAGAAGACAATGATTGGATTATGGAGGCAGCACTCCCATGAATAGGTCAATGATGCCTCGTGAGACCAAGTGAGTTCTGGCTGTCAAGAGAAGGGGTTAGGTCTTAGAAGAGCAGGTTGCTTTAACCCCCCGCGCTCTCTCTGCCTATACCCATTATCCTCTCTGCCTTGTTCTGCCTCAGTGATGTTCCAGCTACCCCGGTCATGAGTCAGTAAGCCTATATTCTTTTTTTTTGAGAGATTTTTGGTATAGGATGCATGCGCTCGCCAGACAGAGAGAGACAGAGAGACAAAAAGCAGGAAATCACCCCCCAGGGGGGATGGCCACGCCGCAGTCCCTTCTCCATTCTCCTCTCGGGATCTTGGGCACGCATGCACACACGCCCAGCGTGAGTTTAAGCCACCGGGTCCGGGACTCGAACCACGGTCGACTATATGGGAGTCCAGCGACATAGCCATTATGCCAACTGCCGG